CAGCCCAGGATCCGGCCGGCTGCCTGGGCCGCAGGGCACACTGCTGGCTCACGCCCGGCTGCCATCCACCGGCACCCCCAGGTCCTTTCTGGCAGGGCCGTGCTCTGTCCCTACGGCCCCCGGCTCGTACTGGCAGTGGGGGTTGCCACGACCCGGGTGCGACGCCTCGCGCTTGGATGTGTTGAGCCTCAGGAGGTTCCCCTGGGCGCACCGCTCAGCCTGGCCAGGTCTCTCTGGACGGCATCCCGTCCCTCGGCCGTGTCGACCGCACCGCACGGCTGGGTGTCATCCGCAAACTGCTCAGGGTGCGCTCCGTCCCACTGCCGTGTCACTCGTGATGACGCTGAAGGGCAGCAGTCCCAGAGCTGAACCCTGAGGGACAGCACAGACTGCAGTTTGTGTAGGATTTTCACCCTGGAACCCCTCTTGTCCACCACTGCTATTTGCTTGCTATTTGCTTGACATTTTGTCCAGAATGATAGTGTGCAAAGCAGTATTGAAAGCTTTACTGAAATGCAGAAGGATTACATGAACTTGTTTCCCTACATCAACTAGGTGGGTGATCTTTTCTTAAAAGGAAATTTAGTTAAACAGGACTTTCCCCTCATGAACTCATGTTGGCTGTGACCCATGATTGCATTATCCTTCAGATGTTTTTCAGTAGCTCCCAGCATAATGCCTCCATAATTTTAGTAGGCGCTGAAGTGAGACTGACAGGCCGTAATTAGCAAGGTCTTCTTGCTTGCCTTTCTTGAACAAGAACAACATATTCTGGAACAATATTCCCCAGCTTTCAGCCAACTGGGACCTCTCCAGATTTTCAAGACTGTTGAAAAATAGTTGAGGTCTTGTGATGACATTGGCCAGCACTCTGAGTGCCCTGGGGTGGATCCCATTGGGTCTCCTGGATTTAGATGCATCTGTATGGAACAGCAAATTGCACACAAGTTGGGAGTTGGTTGGGAGCTGGTTGTTACTGCAGCCCCGGTCCTCCAGCTCCAGGGGTCCCAGAGCCCATCATCGGTGTTGAAAACAGACACAAAGAAGCCATCAAAGGTCTCTGCTTTGTCTGTGTCCCTGTTTGCAAGGTGACCATTCTCATCGAGTAATGAACCAACTTTCTCTCTGGTCCTTCTTTCATTGTTAACATATTTAACATTTAGTATTTAAATTTCTTTTTGTCCTGCACAGCACTGGCCAGCTGCAACTCTAACTGAGCTTTGGCCACACCGTTTTTTTCCCTACGAAGGCAAACAGCATCCGTGTATTCTTCTCATGTTTCCTGACCTTGCTTTCAGTGGCCTTTCCTTCTAAGCTATTGAAGAAGATCCCTGTTCAGCCAAGCCGACGTTGTGGCCCAACTGCTTGACTTGTGACATTTTGAAATTGCCCGTCTCATGGTCTTAGGAGATGGTGCTTAAAAAGTGGCCAGCATTGATGCATCCCAGTGCTTCAAAAATAGTTTCCCAGGGGGCTTCAGTGACTAGTTCCCTGAGTAGCCTGAACTCTGCTTTCTTCATATCCGGGGCTGAAATTTTGGTATCCATTTTCCTCCTAACACCAAGGATTTTAAATTTGACTACTTCATGATCTGTGTGGCCAAGATGGTCATTCCATCCACAAGGCTTCTCAAGCTACGTATCTAGGAGGGAAGTTTTCCTCATTGGCTCCTCTAGTACCTGCACTAGGAAGTTGTCAACAAAGTGTTGTAGAAATCTCCTGAAACCGTATGGTGTTCCCACTTAACATCTGGCAAGTTGAAGACTCCATAAGGACAATGTCAGTTGATCTAGAGGTCTCTCAGTTCCTGCACTTGTGGTCCTGAAATACCATCCCTGCTAGGAGTGAATCCTGTTTAGCAGAGCTGAGGACAAGGCCCAGGGGCTCCTCCGTCCTCCCAGGACTTGTCCTCTGCTCTTGGAGCCAGGGAGAGCAGCAGAGGAGCGGGACCAAGGAGCTGTTTGTCCCCCGGCTGAGGCTGGAAGTCCCTCACTTCATCTGCTCAGGAGAGATAACAGCTGGATGGAGATTGTGGGTATGGACATGTCAGATGCCAAAATGTTGTGCAGTGAGCTGCTGGGCTTTGAAATGTTGGAAACTGGGAAGCTGGATGCCAGGATGTTCAATATTGAGACACAAATGGTTGGTAGGAACGATGCCTGCAGAAGGTGTTTTACAGGCCACCAAGGTAGGGAGCGTCTCACTAACAGCCCTGTCAGCCCGTGCCCTATTTCCTAATTCATGTGAAGCAGATACTTGGACTAAATATTAACTGAAAATGCAAGGAGCTTGTTAAAAGGTAACTCCAGACAGAGCAGCCAAGAAGGGAAAAGGCTGCAGCAGAGCAGCAGTGTAAATGCACTCTGCTCAGAAAGGCTGAGAAGGAACTGCAAAAGCTCAAAAAACTCAAACCTGGGAGAAGGAAAGCATCAAGGATTTAGCAATGTGTCAGAAGAGGAAGAGGAATCCAAAAGAGAATGCTTTATTGGCAGCTGCAGGCACTCAGTGTAAAGTTTTGTCCCCCAGCCACTGCTGCTATCCCTGCCCTCCCAAAAACTGCCCTGAACTGCTGCCCTGCCCTGCCCACTGGCACTAAGGATTTACTGTGCTCTGAAAGACCGTGCTGTGCTGCGAGCAATACTTGCTGGAGGACTGTGATACAGAAAAGGTACTCATCCCCCAGTCAAGTGCATCCTAGTTGCTGGTCCCCTGCCTGTCCCTCTTCCAAGCTCAGCTGGAGGGGAATAAGAAGCACATGCGGTACAGCTCTGCTGTTGCGGGAGGGTTTATTTGGCTCGTGGTGCATAGGCACAGGGATGCAGCAGGTGGGCAGCAGGACACAGTGAGGAGGCAGCAGAGATCCCAGGTGCTGCAGACAGGATCTTGAGGAACAGGCAGTGCTCCCCATCACTTGACACGGGTGAAGACGTTGGTGCCAACCCTGCAGGAAGAGGGGTCAGTGGGGTGGGGTGGGCATTGCAGGGGTGGCAGCGAGAGCTGTGCTCACCTGATGGCCTTCCAGGTGTCCTTGCGGGAGGGAACCTCTTCCCGCAGCAGCCATGCCATCTCCAGCGTCTCCTTCCCACGGCGGTCCACGAAGCACTGTCCCACAAAAACAGTGGTGGAGTCTGGGGGTAAACCGAGGGCTGAAGCCAGGGGAATAAAGACTGCCTTCTCTGATAGAAGGACACCCTGGGTGCCTGGGCTGACAAATAGCTCTATCAGACCCTTAGACAGACAGACACCTTGGGCAGAGCTGTCTGGCTATCTACAGCCTTGCTGGTGCTGCCATACCTGCAAACTGCCACTGCACAGTGAAGCCAAACGTGGGCTGCTGCCCCTTGGTGCCGGCGGGCTGCTGGGCCCCTTGCAGCGGTGACACCAGGATCTGCTTGTTGGTGACTGCTACCGCTGTCTGGTAGGAGCCGGAAAAGGTCCCAGCCACGTCCAGGGCTGAGATGGTCATGTTGGAGCCCAGCTCATTTCTCCACAGGCCCTGCAGATCACACTAGGACCAGGGGACACGGCAGCGTGTCAGATCACAGCACGGCCCAGCACAGCTCGGCATGGCAGCTAGCCCCCAGCGCTCGGTTCCGGCTGCCCTCACCTTCCTGGAGGCTGCAGGGCCGAGGCCAAGCAGGACCAGGCCAAGCAGGAGGCAGTAGCGGCGGTGCTCCATGGCGAAGCTGTGCTCTGCTCCAGTCCTGCTCAGAGCTGTTTATAGTGGTGGGGGCTGTGTGCGGCCCCTGGGCAGCCTGCCAAGGGTCACCAGCAGGAGACGGGCCACCGCCTGCAGCAGCACGGGGGATGTGGTGACGCAGGCATTACTGCCACAGCACTGCGTGGGGGCACAGGAGAGGCACTGGGAGGCCATATGGGGGCACAGGAGCCAGAACTGCTGCCTGAAGGGATGTGAGAAGAACTAGAGCGTGGCTGCAGTAAAGTACTATTAGGAGGAGAGGCAGGAGCAGTGTTGGCACCCTGGCATTGTCACTGGCTTGGGAGCAGCAGGACTGCCCTCACCCCACAGGTTGGGGAAACTGGTGCCAACCACGGGAGGACAAAGGTCAAGGTGAAGGTGTCCCACCTCAGTGCTGAGCAGCCTGCACAGGGAACCAGGTACGCTGTCGCCACTGGGCCACTGCTTTTGGCCTAAGCTTCCCCACAGCTCTCCAGTCATCATCAGTGCGTGACTGCAAGAGCCACAGGGCCCTCTGCCCTCTTTCCCAGCAGCTGGTGGCAGCCCTCTGCAAGGGCTGGTGACATTTCAGAGCCCATGTTGGTTTCTTTGCCTTCCTGCAGACATAAGTGGAGAGCTGGCCGTCACCCCAACTCTGCACGCAAATCCCCACCCCTGCACCTGCACACACACCAGGAAGCACAAGGAGAGTGATAGACAGCTGAACAATAGTTTATTAAGAACTTAAAACAATCAATTTTCTAAAACCCGCTCCCCTGCCTACCCCAGCTCACAGCACGGTGCCAGACCAGGCTGGGCACTGTTGGGGCTGGGATTGTCACCATCCCCCAGTGATTGTCCCAGCTGGGCCCCCCAGCTGCAGAGTCAGCCCAGGGAGCTACACACTACAGCACCCATGTGTCAGTGTGGGCCGCATCCTGTCCCTGTCACATTCTGCAGGCCACATACCCCAGGACACGTCTTGGGGAATGGGGGTCCTGCAGAAGCCCTGAGCACCAGGGAGGGGACAGTCACATATCCCCATCCAGTCCCCTCCTCTCACCACAATGATGACAGGACATAACACGTGCCTATGGTCTCCTGTGCAGCACAGAGGCTGGGGATCCCCCAGAGCAAGGGGCAGAAATGTGGGAGCCAAAGAGGTAAAAAGGAAAACAGCAATTTGAGCATTCTCAAGAGAGGGAGGCACAGGATGAAATCCCTGCAACTCTGCTCTGTGCCACCCAGTCTCAGGGGTGCAGAGGATTCTTCTAGGGTGGTGTGGGTTTGGGGGCCTGGCGGGCTTTGCTCTCCAGGGCCAGCTGCATGCTCCAGATGCTGAGGGGCCGCATGTATGCCAGCGAGCGGAAGATTTTCTTCTCACAATAGGCTTCAGGGGTCTGGAAAGCCATGCCCAGTTTCTCCCACACCGTTCGGTAGCAGCCCTCTGCTGTGCGGAAGCCCTCCTGCACCAGTCCCTGTGGAAAAAAAGGCTGCCATTGTCATCTCTGTGGCATGGAGATGACACATGCCAGCTCACCCCCTGGCACGCCTGCTTACCTCCTGGATCATGGTGGCAGCCAGAGCATAGACAACACCAACCCACACCTCACTGGACTGCACGCTAGAGGTGTCAGGCACACCATCAGGCCGCATGCCATTCACAGCACCCATGGTGCCACCCGCAAAGCTCATCACATTCTTCTCAAAGATGGTCTTCAGTGCGCTGACAATGTGGCTCTTGGGGAAGACCTGCATAGAGACAGTGCCAGCAACTTGGTGACATTTCTCGCTAGGAATAGGTCAACACTGCTTGCTGGTAAGTGGGCACCTTAGGAAAACACCAGAAGGCCTTTTCCCCCAAAAAAAGTCAGAAAGAAGAGGCAGACCTTTTTGCCACCTTTCCCAATGGTGCCTAGTGACTCCTCCACAACTGCATCTCACTCCTGCTTTGGGGTTTGCTTTGGGGACAGGCCAGCCACACTCCTCAAACTTGCCCTACTTGAATTCCCAGCCTGCACTTATGGTCACTGCTGATGTTTTTCAAGCTATTGCCAACTCATAACCCAAGCTTTCTGCTGGTTAAAACTGCTGTCTCACCCCCATCATAGCTACTTCATCTAGCTAGTGTAGCCTGCCACCATCTACAACAGACATTACAATGCTGAGAAAAGATGAGACACAGACCAGAGGTGGACAGGAGAACGGGTCAGAGATGCTGGAGGGGAAGGCTGTGGCACAGCCAGGGTAGTGACACGGGGATACATCCTGCAGCTGAAAAGTGGGACTGTGAATACCACAAGGCTGATTACAGTGTGTGTTGGGAATCCTATCAAAAGAGCTGAACATCGAAAGTTACCTATCAAACAGGATACTCAGCTTCTGCACAGTGGAATAAGAAAAACTGAGCGTGTTTTTGACAGATTTCAGAAGGACTTCAACTTCAACTTCCTTCAGCTTTGCCATTAGGTGGCAATGACTGACTGTGTCCCTGACCAAGGGTTGAGGCAAGATATCTTCATGAGATAGCATGAAGATAAAAGGTTGGACTGTGACACATGGGACACCTTGTGATTTTCTGCTTATGGCAGAAGAGCCTTGAGACTTTTACCACTAGCAAAAGGTCTGTGAAAGGTCAGCAGCGCTCACTGAGCAAACAGTTGCTTCAAGAGAATACAGAAGGAAAAACAAGTTATTCAACAAGCCAAAGCCAAGAGCTCACAAGAACTACAAGAACAAACTGAAGCACCATGCTGACTGAGCCCTCAGAAAACAAAACCAAACCAGAACAACCCAAGCATGAAAATGCCTGCCAATCAAACAGCAAGGAGAACTGCATAAAGATGGAAAGACTGCATGTAGCTGGAAGTAAATAATGCTTCTCTGTGGTGCTAAAACTAAAAAGTCATAAAAAGGGCATTAGGACAGGAAATAGGCAGTTTGCTTGCCTGGTCCCAGCACAGGATGCACCAACTTTTTCTGCACATTTGCTGGAAATGTTAAGGAAGTAGCAAGCATGGTGACATGCCACAGGAGCTTGCCAAAGCCTGACAGAGATAACCCAGCAACTTCTGCAGACTCATCAGGGGAAAGGCAGTGGATCGCTTTATCTGTGCTAAAGCCAAGCATGTGATACAGTCATGTTTTGCAGTGTGGATCTGGAGATAAGCAGAAAGATTGCTTGGGAAAGTCTTCTTCAGCAAAAAAAGTTTCAAGGCAAAATTTCTTCAGGACTGAGGTCACCAATTTATCTTATCTTTGCATTTCATTACTGACCTACATACACAGTAGGAAAGCATTAATGAAGTTACAACAGGAGAACTGCCAGCAGCCAAGGGATCAAAATACATGGAAAAAACTGGATGACCATAGTAAACAGAGAGAGTTCATCAGTGCAGCCTTCAGCAAGCTCAAAGCTCACCAGAGAGCAGGGGACAAATGATACCATAAGCAACAAAGTCAGACATCAACAAAAACATAGGCGAGGTTTCAGACTGTGCTACATTTACCACTTGCATCTAAAAAGGCTGTTTGAGTATCACTGCACAAGGCTGGAGGGCACAGCCAGATGCTGTCTTCTCACCAAGTCCCACAGAACTTCCCACAGGCACACTGCTCCTGGGGAAGAAACTTTTGCATATTCTTTCCCACCACAGAGAGCTCTGCTCTGGAGCAGTGGGATCTGACAGCTTCCTCAGTCATTAGTAATCCACAGGAGTGCTCTCTGCTGCCATGCTGTGTTCCAATACTATGTTACTGATCACTGTTCTCATGCCTCATCACACAGAGCTGCCTTTGGCCAATTCCTCCTTTGTGAGGTAAGAGCTGTGGGCTTCAGGGCCACAAATCAGTCTCCATGTCCTCCAACGCTCATTTAGGACTTCAAACTGAGCAACAAACAGCATGTGGAAAGTTTCATGCATATTTTCACTGGTTTCTAAGCAAACACCATTGTGCTGAGAGCAGAGCCCAGCAGGACCCTCCTAGCAGCGTGCCAGACTTGACCAAGGTTACACACTCTGCTTGTGCAGCCCATCTCTGAGCTGATTTCCATTTAGTGCACTGACGTGCATTAAGCTACCTCCACCCAAGTGCTGCCCAGTGCATACCAGCAGCTAGCACACAGCCCACACCAGGTGCTCACTCGGCTGAGCTTTCACAGACCCCTTCTCCTCACCTCCAGCTCCTTCTGGTTCAGGCCACAAGCCCCCAGGAACCACTGCCCCGCACACTGGTCTGACATGATGCTGTCGGAGGTGCTGCTCCCGCTGCTGTCATAGTTGTAGTATTTTCCTGGAAAAAGCCAGAAATATGGTATACTGACGGCTGCAGCTGATGCGCTGTTCCATCCCCCCTAACCTTCCCACCAGCCAGCACGCACCATTCCACAGCAGCCTTTCAAATGACTCCTTGCCTTTCTGCAGGATGGCATCATACTTCTGCTGGGTCTCGGTGTCACCCAGCACCTCTGCCATCTTACACATCATCCGAACAGCTGCCAGCCACAGCCCACCGCAGTATGCACTGCCAGAGCAAAAAGGACAATCGCGTTGGCGATGCTGGACACATTGCGCAGTGCTCTGGTGACGTGTGGGGAGCATGTCCCCAGCTCCGAGCTACCTCCCACCACTCAGCCCACACTCCTGGCCTGCTCACCTGGCCCCGGTCACCACCCATATATCGTACGTCTGGTCAGCAGTGCCCCCGTTCTCAATAAGCCCGTCATTGTCAGTATCAAACTTCAGCTCCGACTCCATCACAGCCTGTAGGAGGCAGGAGGGGGTCATGAAGAATTCCTGCTGTGTCCCTCTCCGGATGTCTCCCATCTTCTAAGGGCCCTCCCACAGTACCTGGCAGACAGGCCACATGTCCTGCAGGTACAGTGCATCATGCGTCAGGTAGTAGTCACGATACACCTGCAGCACAAACTTCAGGTTCAGGTCCTTCCAGTTGGCAGTGTCGTGTATGAGATAGGCATTGACTCGCTGCCAGGGCTCATCACCTGCATGAGGACAGAGCAGAT